CAACTAATGTAATTTGTCAACTTAATATAACCAAAAATCTAAATAAAATAATGTTGCTTCTGCTTTTTTATTGCTTTAAAAAGTCAAAGTAAAAAAGGATTTGCTGAACCTAAAATCACATTTAATTAATAATAAACAATGTTGGTAACTTGTGACAGTTTTTTAAAGTTAAACCAACAGAGTGTTTTCTTACATTTAAACTGTCATTAAGTCACATTAAACAATAATTATCTTGATGTTTTCACAGAATAATGTTTAATGAAGWGATGAAGAGTTACCCAGTCATCATCGGAGCAGAAAGGCCACTCTCTCTGAGTGGCACATTTATCATCTCTGGTTCCGTGGACCACCGGGCGGGCTCCTCTGGGGTCCACCACGGTCTGGACAGACAAGAAAATAAAATAAAATAATAATTCAACTAGTTTTAAAACATAAAACTCTTAGATTTGTTGTGATTAATGTGAGGTTTTCTGTTGTTTTAACACGTCAGAGTTTAAAACTGTTCACTATGTTTGGTTCTGGGTGATTTCTGAACAAATGAAACCAAACTACAGCAGGTCTGAAGCAGCTTTAACAAAATAAAAGTCTCAGGAAATGAGTCTCTTAAATATGTTTTTGAAGAAAAATATGAATGTTTTAACCTTGGTGTTTGTGTTCAGATTAATATGAACTGACTTTTTATTAACTGAAGAGATAAAAGCTGAATTAAAAGTGTTTCTAATGTTAATTTCTCTGCATGAAATGAATCATTTAAAGGGGATGAGAGGAACTCACCTGAGCTGCAGCCACACAGAGCAGACAGGTGATCAGACTGATCCTCCTCATGGTTCCTGTGCTTCTTCCTGAATGTTGCTCTGCTGCAGTCGGACCTTTTCAATGCTCCTGGTGGGGTCTGAAGACCCTCTGACTGTGTGTGTGTCAGCTTTGATCAGAGTTGAGCAACAGTTGTTCCTGGCTCTGACTGATGCTGTTTGTTGTCCAGCAGGGTTAAAGTCAACAGACACTCTGGACTCAAACAGGCGGCTGAGGCAGGACTTACATCTGCTTTTTCTTTTCTCTCAGATCAAACAGGGACCAAACTAATAACTGAGGCAACAAGTGTTGAAACTTTATGATGAATGAGTCAAAATGAACCAGAAACCATGACTCAGGTCTGAACTCATACTGTCATTAAAAATGTTTGTATTTGTTTCACCTGATTGGACACTCATGTTTTACAGTTTGTTCCAGAGGAAAGTTTGACAGCTCCATGATTAAAGTTATTTAAGTTAAAAGAAAATCTAATTTGTTGCTTTTGTTATTAATTATTGATGATAAAACGTTGCAGCAGTTGATATCAGGCTGCATGTTTGATCTGATCCAGTCTGTGAGGAAGGAGAGGCGCCGTGTTCAGAATCAAAAACACGTCTTTTTTAACTTTTGGTTTTGTTTATTTGGTTTTTATTTATTTTATTTAACTCTATATAGAATGTTGTATGAATGAAATAAATAAATGAATAAAATAATAAAATAAAACAAAGAAACGTCTTGTGTTTCAGTTCTAACTCAGGTAGTATTTGGTACCACCAAGTACCCAAACTGAAGTACTTGTACTCAGTTTGAGAAAAACTCATTTAATGTCATGTTGTTGTTTTTTTTTAGAAAGAAGGACATGACCTTTAACCTTTAACCTGCTGGTTCAGGCCTGTAGGGTCTGAGATCAGGCTCATTGCACAGTCTGACCTTCAGGTTGAAAACTGTCAGATTGGGATTAATCCTCGTCTCTGCAGAATGATAACCTTTGACCTTCTCAGATTTATGGGCAGACCACCTGTTGCTGCAGGTAGAGGTGGTCTCAGTCTGAGGATCAGGGACTCGTCAGCTCCTGGTCCTGAACCTCTGAGGTCCTGAGGAAGCAGCAGGACTGGATCCAGTTGTAACTCTTTAACACYGACTCAGTGGATCAGGTTGGATTTTCTTTTTCCTCTAAAAGTCTGTTTTTGTGATTTTAATATGTTTCTGAAAACATCGTAGTCATTCAAAGATAAATATTAACATAAGTGAAGCAAAACTTTAATAATTCTACCATGTTCAGCAGAAAACTGAACAGCAGGTGGAGACAAACCATCAGTTTACCTCCAGTC